AAAAAATAATCGTTACGATCATTGAATTTTGCTATTTAATAGCATATTGGACTTCGGGCTTTTAAACTATCAAACGATTATAAACTCTAAATATCAAATTTTATAAAATTGGACCTGATATTATAAGTTTAAAAGCCCGATACATTACTTTTCTTTTATATACGTTTGCATACTATACACGATATATTAATTTATACATAACATCAACCATACCATACACACGTGTATTACTCTTTTTTAGCTGATCTCGTGCAAACTACTTTTCGAAATCCTTTTGACTTTTATGGAAGAAAGCGTGAAATGTTCATGTTGTATACCTTGAACTTCAATAATGTGGATAGTATATATCAAGTTCAAGTCCTAACAGATGATCAGGCATTTTTAAAAAATCTGGTCTACGAATATCAGATGGTAGGCCTAATAATTTCGTTGCTATTTCCTTGCAGAGTTCTTGTCTTTTCCATGAACAAAATGGGACACCATATACCTAAATTTTTTACTTTATCCAAGGTTGCATACCATTCATGCTTTTTTTTCATACTGCCATTTTAATTTTGCATGCGCACCATTATACATTCAGAAAAACATAATCCTTTATTTTTAGTCGCACTTTTTATAGCTTCTTCAATGGTGAGTTTTGCATTACCTGAACAGCGAGAACACCATATATCCAAATATCTTACACATTTAAGATTTGTATAACATTTATGGCTTTCGTTACAAGCGAAGAGTCTAAATCAATCTATTTTTCTGATAAACATTTTCCACCTTTTTTAAACGCAATTTCTTTAGCAATATCAATATTAAGTTTAGAATATCTTGTGCATTGAAAACATTATGTATTTCGATTTTTTATTGTATTTAAAACTGCATACCAAATATGTCCTTGATAACATCTCCATTGTAATAGAGTATGAATTTTTTAATATATTTATTTGGTAAACATTCACCATTCCTAGATTTTTAGCTAAATTTAAATCAACTCTTCGAGTATCTATTACACATTTAGGACCAATAATTATAATGCATTGCCAGAAAAGTGGTATTTATAACTATTTATATATTTTTCAGAAGATAAATACCACCTTTTTTAAGCGCAATTTCTTTAGCAATATTAATATTAAGTTTAAAACATCCAGCACATTGCGGACACCAAGTGCCTTCTTTATATCACATAAAGAAGCGTTCCATTCATGATATTCAATGTAAAGGAGTTTTATTATTGATATAACGTTCGGAAAGACATTGCCCTTCTTTTTATCGAATATCAGGATATCCGTTAAATTTTAATAGAAAAACGTATCTCTAATTTGAAGCGTAGTAATTTTAAAAATTTTTATAAAACAAACTTATATTTAGGATTTAGTACAAGTTTGAGATTCGGGACTAGTTTGAAATTTAGAACAAATTTTGGGACTTAAATTATCTCGAACTTACAAATTGGGATTTAGAACAAAATTTAGGGTAAACCATTCCTAGTTTGGGCCAATAGTAATAACTATTTGACTGCAGTTTTAAAACTAGCTAGATGTCGTGTGTTTATTGTTATTGGTTGCTTATAGTCAGTGTTGGCCGATGACCTAAGTCATATCGTTTTTTTGATATGACCTTGGTCATATAATCATATGACTTTTTGGTCATAATAAAAATTTTTTACTATGATTCTTACTATATTGAAAAAAGGTCATAAGTCATATTAACCCTCATTATGACCAAATGACCTATGGCTGGTCATAAAGGTCATATAGGTCATTGAAGGTCATCGGCGAACACTGCTTATAGTAGATATTACACTTTATATAATCATATAATAAATTGTTAATGCTATAAATCTGGTTTACGTCGTCAAAATAATAATAATCATTTTATCATTCATTTTATTTAGGTAATATTAAAATATAAGCATTAAAAATATGGTGCTCCAAGTCATTTCTCAAATTTCTAAGTTTTTTTTTTAAAAAAAATAATTATAAATTTCATTTTTAAAAATTTAACGATAAAAATCAAATTTTTACCATTATTCTATTAAATTTATCGGTTAAAATTTTTTTTTAATCTTCAAATACCGAAGTTATATATGAGAGACGAAATTGACAATTTTTTCAAAAGATGTTTTTTTACATAAATCAATTTAAACAAGATTATGATCATTTTTCACTTAAGACACAAAAAGTAGTTGATTTGAAAAATTAGTGGAACACTTGAAAAATTTGCTTGTTTCCCGGATTCGTCTTACGAATCATCTAACTCTTCGGAAGCCATGTCACTTCGGAACTTCGATCCGAAAATGGTGATGTGATTTCCGAAGAGTTAGATAATTCGTAAGACGAAACAAGCAAATTTTTCAAGTGTCTCACTAATTTTCAAATCAAAATTGATTTTCTGAAGATCTTTTTTTCTGAAGATCTTTTTTTTGCCAATTTCGTCCGCACCAAGCCCATCTATAAGAATAGTAAAAACATATTAAAAAATTTTTTATCCAATCAAAATTAGTTTAAAAATGATTATGTTTGGTTAGTATATATAAATATATTTGTAGGGTGTGCAATGGGCCGGGTTTGCCTTGGCTCTAACCCAGCCCGTTAAATTATGAGCCCGGCCCAATTTATTATAGGCTTAAAAATCTAGGCCCAGGTTTGGCCCGGCGCGTCTCCAAATAACGTGCCCCCTATATCTAGTTGATAAGTATGATGATCGTAAATTCACACTAAATCAAGGGGTCCGTTAAAACCAGGTGCGTTTAATTGATCTATATACTGCATAAATTAGATCCTTGATATCTATATAACCTGCTAACCTTAATTATATCAAAAAAGTAACTCTAACTTCATCAAAAAAAGTAGTTCTAACGCACCTGACTTTAACATTTCCCCAAATCAGCTGTAAATTATATTGTTTCAAAATAACGCCCCGGCGCGTACTCTAAATAACGTCAAAATAACGCGCCGGAGCGTAGCGGAGTGGACGAGTAAAGTGCATCAAAATTTACGTTTTTGATGCATCAAAAGTTACGATGTTGATGCATCACGGTGATAAAAATCAAGAACATAACTTTGAAAAGGATGTCTTTCTGTCCACGCACGTGACTAAAGTTACGTTTTTGATGCATGACTATATTTGTTAAATAGCAATAAATCAAAAACGTAATTTTGAAAAGGATGTCACGCAACAAAAGTTACGTTTTTGATGCATGACTATATGTAACAAAAATAAGACCGGCATTCTGGTCTAAGCTTTTCCGAATTAGCCCGATCGGAAAATCCCGAAGGGTGATTTTCCTAGCAAAGATCCCAAATAACGTCTACCATAAGCAGCCAATGAGACTTCAAAGATTGACATCATAAATTGATTACATGTTTCTCGTTTCACCTTTTCCCTTTGCTTATCATTGTACATAAATTACTATGCTATATTAAAGATGCATTTTGACGGCTTCTTTCTCGAGTTATTAGTTAATGGGCAACCATTAAAAGAACTTAATATACCTATAAATGAAGCAACGGTATGTTAAGTGTACTTTGTGATTTTGAATGTATAGCTTTTTACTAAATAATTTATCTTTTTAGGAAACCGCAATACCGAAGTCTTATGTTTTAAGTGGGATTTTTAAAGAACGTAAATATAGGTAATAATTTTTTAGTTTGTGAATAAGAAAAATAAAGTATCACCAAAATTTTTTTTATATATAAATAATTAAATTACGAATAAAATATATTAGCCCTAATGTCACATACGCGGCAATTTTTATACCCGGTACAAGATTTGAAGTGAGATTCGCTTCCGCTTTTGCGATCATAGATGCACCAATTATGGCTTTTGTCCACGTAGACGGATCTCACGATTACACACATCACATCTTAAAACAATCAACTTCAATAACCAGAGATGGATTCTGGAATCCTAGTCGAAATAAAAAACTTTTCTTCAAATTCTCATCTGCAACCTCATCCACAACTTCATCCACAAAATCAAATGTGAATGATGTTTGTTCAGGATTAGGTACGGTATCCGTTTATTTTCATAAGGCAAAACGAGTACCAAGAGTAAACCATCGACCACATCAATTTGAAATAAATCAGAAGAAAGTTGTTGGTTCAAAAATATGTTCAGAAATTATGTATTCGACGACATTTGATGAATATGAGGATAGAATATTAAAAGGTGGTACTAATTGGAAGAGAATAGATAAGGATCCTATTGCAGTTTTACACCTGCATTATAGGTCTGTGGAATGGTTAGTGTCTAGGGGATTGAATTTGAATTTATCGGTTAATGAAATAAGATATTTGGAGAGGAATAAGAAGCAGAGGACTAGTGTTAATAGTAACAATTTAGCAAAACGACCAAGTCATGTAATAGTAATAAGTGATGACGAAGAACCTTCAGAAAATGGTGTGATTGATCTTACAGGTTCCTCTAGGAAAAGGACAAAATATGTGCCTGTTATCGAAATTATAGATTCTGATTAACCTTTTATATTGATATGAGAATAAATAGTTTTGAATCGATGTGATAGTTTTAGTTAGCATTAATTTTTTTTTTTTTGTTAAACATTTGAAATGGCATCACTAAATCAAAAACTTTAAAGGTTTAGATCAAATTTTGGTTTATTTAGAAAAAAGATATTAATATCATAATTATTATTATTATTTATTCTTAACCTCACATTAACGAAAGTTCTGACCTTTAGTGTGTCTTTTGTTATTGTGATATTTATCGGCATTTGTACATGTATTTTTACTTTATTTGCCTTTCTTTTTTTTTTTTTTTTTTTTTGAGTGTACATTGCTTTTATAACAAAATAATTCACCACACGTTAATTAAATAATTAAATTAACTACGTTAATAATAAATACACAAATAAGAAACTCATTATCTAAAATTTTTATTCATCCTCTAATTTTAAAGGGTTCACAACCTTTGCGAGTTTAGAATATTTGTAAACCACCTGTTCATCCAAATCATGATAATCCTTTATCGACATTTTCAACTCAAAATAACCTTTATTTGACCTACGTGATATTTTCGAATCCAAACATGGATGTTGGTTCTTTATGTACGCAGCAACCTCATTACCAAACTTTGATAAAATCTTATAACCAACCAACTTAAATGGAGATAAAATATTGAAGACAATATCCTTAACATCTTCATCAGTTTCGTAATCAATTAAACCAAGTGAAAAATTAACGTTTATTGTGACATGATACTTTTTAACAACTTGGTCCACAAGAGCATCCAAAGCAACCAAGAAACTATCTACCAAAGTTACAGCCCCAAAATTATCAATTCCATTACGACCTGGAGATGGAATTTGAAAGTAATCAAGTTCTAAATCGAGTTCTCGACGAGATACATAAAAAGAGGATGATTCAGAAAAATAAGATTCGTCAGGCCAAAAAATTTCACCAGTTCGATAAAATTGCATTATAAATCTAAATAAATGACCATCCCGATCAAAGAAATATTCATTATTATTCGTAGGTTGAAGTAATGATTGATTTCTTTCTTGAAACATTGTTCCAAGAAGAGTTTCTGGATATGCTGTTAATGTTGACCGATATGTTTCATACTAGATTATTTACGCAGTAAAATATATATATTTAAAAAAAAAAACCATTTAATTATAAAGTAATAAAGATGATCTCTCAGAATTATTAATATAAAAGAATTAAATTATTATTATTATTATTATTATTATTTATTTACCTTTATCCCACCAACATTTAAAATTATTCTCTCATTTATGCTTATTTTTTCGTTTGATTCTTCCACCATTTTTGAGTAAATAAATAAAAAGAAAGCTACATATTTTAAATTTTAAACCAATCGATGACTTTTATATTTCTTTCTATAAATGGTGGTTTGTGTCATTTACATCATTTACGTAAGTACATGCAATATTAATGGCGCATCAAAAAGCAAAATAAATTCGATAGCTCTATATATACTGTATTAAATGGTTTTCAAATATAACTTGTTACAGTTCTGAAATTCAGAGATAAAAATCCTTTCGTAGGTGTAAAGGATCAAGGATAAATGGTCACATTAAGGTGACGAGATCTTTAATTAATCATATAGGGATTTCATCAAAGTTTAGAAATGTCTTTTGTTATACTCAAAAATTAATTTTATTTCAGTTACTTTTTTATTAAAACCTTTAACTTCGTTGATCTTTACGTTTACCGACTGAATATCTATTAAATTCTTGGTCATATTTATAGCTACTCTTCGTCAAAACACTGCCTGAATATTGTAAAGGAATGCCAGCAGAAATTTTATGTAAAAAAACAACTTCTAATCATACATGAAGTTCATTTGATTAGCTAACAATTCTATATTTAAAGTGTTTTTATAAATAAAATTGCACGGGTTCATGAAGAAAATTATTATCGATCGAAGTCGCCGACGCCAGATTATAAAAAAATAAATTCTTATATTTTCATCTTGAAATGTTGGCACAGTAAAAACATCTTTTGCCTATTTTGAAAAGGTTATTTCTAGATTAAAGAATACGTATGTTTTATTTGGATAATTACCTTAATTTGGTCTGTAAGTATTTTATGCGGTTTGCATAATTTTGTGACCCCTATGATTAATTTTTTTTGATTAAATGATTGTGATTGATGAAGTCAGCCAATATACCACGAATATGAGTTTCAGATTTATGATTAGCAATCGCAATCATAATCATAATTAATCATAAGTTATTGGGGTGGCGTACTGACTAATTAATCAAAACTATATTAGATATGTTGATCGTTTTACTATAATCAAATTTTATATCAGTAAAATTAAAATAGTCAAATGAATTATTATTTATATAATTTAAATATAAGGAAAAGTGCAAATTCTAAACGATCCACCTGAATATTGCACTTATTTTTCTAATTTCTTTTGATTGAAAAATCTTCGCAAAGACTATTACAACAAAGTTACGCTCGATTCTTTACATAAAGTTCATGTTAATTCTAACTTACAAGTATCAAAGATAGAATTTTCTAATAAATTTGATATATTCTATTAGTCGAACACTTAAAAGCTACATATTAAGAAAAAATTTTCAAGCGTAGTTTTATTCTTCTACACTTTAAAAACAACTCGTGAAAATTTCTAGGTAATACAATGTTTGGTTAATTAGTTATAAAATTTTGAAATAGATCGATTTTTAATAAATATTTAATACTGTAATAAATTGATTAGTTGATTCATATTGTATAACATGAAAAATCTGTAATATAGTAAATTATATAGTTAGCTAACATAGTTTTGATTAATTAGTCAGTACGCCACCCCAATAAGTTATGCAAACCGCAAGCTGTTATACATTTAGTTTCTTGTTTGTATTGAATTGATACGTGATTATAAGCATTATTTATCAACTAAACTAAGATTATACATCGTAAATATATAAGTTTACAGTTTCTAATAAAATTTTAAAATTTTTATAAAATCTTTATAAAACTCTCGTGGCGAAGCCACAGGTCATTAATTAGTCACATACAAATGAATAAACTGATATTAAAGATGCTAATGACTTGATTTGATATTGTATGCTTTAAATCAAAGATTACCTTTGGCTATACTGAAATAATAGTAAAATTATAACATACATATAAGAAAAGTTTGATTAAAAGGAGTTTATTAAAAGGTCATTTGAAGAGCGTCAACTTGATTGTTAAACATGAATAATGACCACTGTACTATATAATATTACAAGATAATAAGCCAAATCACTATTTTCTTAGAAAACAAAATTTTAATTATTGAAATCTTTGAAATGTCAGATAAAAATTAAACAATTGATTCGTTTTAAATAGCATCTTACAATACTGAAATTGTTCAGTCATTGGATCCTTTCAACTTTTATTCGTTATTCTAACAAACTCTGAGTATTGATATTTTTCTAGATAAAAAACATCTAAAATTTTTGTAATTAAAAATTAAAAGCCGGCTGGCGAGTCACTTTAAAATTCAAATGTTATGAGAAACAATTAATTAACTTTATGCGACTGCGACCTTATATTTATATGTTGTCAGAGTTGGCTAGTAGACCAAAACACTATAATTGACTATTTCAATGAATTATATTCATTCATGTTTATAATATAGCCGTAACTCCTGTTAAAGAATGCGCCAATGAAAACGAATTGGTATCAGGTATTCATAAGGTAAATGCGGGTATTATCGTTATAACGAATGTGAGTATTTTGACGAATCGGACATATTGCAAGGAAACAGGATTTTTTTCAAAGTAAACCCAACTTTACTTACTAAGTAAAGTTGCTCAACATATCGATATCATCTTTTACTCAGCCTGCAATTCGAATAACCTTTTATTTTAATAATAAGTTTTTTTGTATATGTTCCAACCAGGGCCGATGATTTTCTGCGGTGATAAATTGCCGTAACAAAATCAAATTCTGCAAAATTCCGTGCATTGAACTCTCGTAAATTCTGCGTTGTTATCTGTTAAATGAATTCTGCGTTGGTTGTAATAGAAACTTCGAATGTTCTGCAATAAGTTGATTGTTTATTCTTCGGATAATTTCGGATATCAAGCAAAATTTTTAACTCGACCATGCTCGTATTTTTTAGGTTCATTTTATTTTTTATACCGGAAATTTTCGGAAGCTATATTTTTAGCTTTTTAGCATCATGCGTACTTATAAAAAATTATAAACCCTACTTTCTGCACTTTCTGCGACAATTCCGTGCTACCCTTGACGCATTCCATGATTTCTGCGGCATTCCGTGAAATGCAGAAAATCATCCCAACACAGAAAATTGATTTACTGCGCCAAAACGTATAATGAAAAAAGCTATTAGAAAAAGGTCATTCAAATTTTACTAAAATTTGAGAGTAAGTAAAAGATAGTATGTTGAACAACTTTACTTAGCAAGTAAAATTTAGTTTCACTTGGAAAAGATCCTGTTTTCTTGAAAAAAAAAAGATTTTTAACTAAAGAAAAAATCGCGAAACGTATTTATAAAAGATCGTCATAAAATAAAGAAGTGTATGTAATCTTCTAAATAACATCACGCAGTTTAAATAAAGTACCGATTTTTTTATATATAGATGTAAGGAGGGTCTAGAACTGCATAAAATTATCGTTCTTAATGTCAACCATTATGTGCGTGTATGGCAGAAACTTGAATTTTTCGAATAAACAGGTTGTTATTGAGAACGGTAACTTTTTGGCTCGGCGCATTATTTCTATAAAGGGATTTGAAGTTTTTAGATTTTCTGCGCCGTATGTTTATTTCAGTTTAAAAAAAACATCTTTATCGTTATGCCATTGTTCCTAATTTTGGAAATTTCTAGTATTACTTATTATAATAAAATCAATAAAATTGTCCTACGAACGTACTATGATAAACAAAGTTTTTTCTCATTACAAAAGATGTTTTGAAGGTTACGTACGTACGCACAGGTGACACATCAATGACTATATTAATACAGTAATGACAAAAATTAGTCTCAAAAATTAATAAATACCCTACATAAAATTTCATATCACGTAATTAAAGATGTCTAGTACTAGTCAAATTCATAAGGCTCTTTCAAAGGAACTTGAAGCTTTGTCATTTGAAGTAAAAGATGAAAAGTTTTATGAATATCTCGACAAACTTGGGTCTTTACCGCATGCCGAAAAAGAAGCAAAATTTAAAGATTTTTTAGATAAAACAGAACAAATTTATAACAACACATCTAATATATCATCCTTTCATGTTGACGATAATTACACACCGTACCAGATAGATGAATACCGCAAGAAAGCAATCGCAAATCGTTCTTTTTCATTCGCAATGCAGCACAACCTTGAACACATTATCTCTGAGCGGCTTGCGAATTTTTTTAACGTCAACAGTAAACTTATTGGATCCGGCGTAGATGGTAAACAACTTCAACAAGTTACATGTGCAAATATCAATATTGCCAATCGTTTCTTTTGTAAGAAAATCGCTGACAAGCTTTGTAGTAGTTGTCATGTTATTTCTTATTGTAGCAAAGAATGTCAAAAAATGCATTGGAAATTTCATAAAATTAATTGTAAATCTGATATCGCGTCAAAGGATTGGAAACCAGATTATATCAATGAAATGCGAACACCTGCATTCTATTCGAATCAACCTTTTGTTTCTTTTAATCCTTTGATAAGAGAATATTTATGGGGAAATATACCAGCAATTGATATTGTAAATTTAGCTTCCAATGAACTCGCTGACGGTAAATCATGTTCTGATTATAAGGATCCTATTAATCTTCTCTTTGCTGCAAGCGGTGATCTCAATGACGTTATTACATCAGTCAATGGATTACCACTTGACTTCAATCAGCCAGTTAATATTTGTATTAACGATTATGCTGAAAGGGTTGTGATTAGAAATTTTATAATACTTTATCTACTCGCAGAACTCGGAAAAGATGCTATTGATCTCGTTATTCATATTTGGTATTCATCTGCACTTACTGATAAACAATCACTTAAATGCATTGAAATACTCAGTAAAATTCTTCAAGATAAGTTGGATTCAAAGGTGAAGAAAGGATATACATTTGAATTTGGTAAACTCAAGGTTCGAACTCATTTTAATTCCGAGACGTGGATGTGTCTTGCAGAAATGCTTAGCAATGATATTGATCTACAGACAGCTGTTGACATGCGTAACGACATTATGTTAAATCCGGCGCGCGAAGACTATCGACATCGATATATGCAACGTCTTACACCAGGAGAACGAATTTGTTTTGATAATTTCCGCCACCATGGAATTCTACTCCCATATGGTGTGATGAATGCTCATCATAACACACCAAATAGATTCATCATAGATCGGATGTTTGGCTGGACGATGGCCGATAGTTCAGATCCACTCTCTGGATGGGATATATTTAACATTGCCCAGGTTAAATGTGGAACTGCAAAAGAAGACATTTATGGAAAGCTTTTCTTTTATCTCCGTGAGCAATTCGAGAAATTCGTTGATCGTTTACAAAAATTAACAATTAATTTTGATTTATATGATGAGGATGCACTTGAACTTGGTGAAAAATTAAAAGGCAGAAAATTTGATCGGATTCACGTAACTAATCTTAGTGACGAATTATATGTTGGTATTAAACCCACATTAACCAAATTCCAACCACTTCTAAATGCTAATAATCCACATGCAACTTTAATTACACTGTTCATGAATTGGTTGCCTTCTATTCCAGAGTCTGATAAAATAAGAATAATGGAAAGCATTATTATGAAAAAAGCTAGTAAATATAAAAAGAATTGTAATCCGTCATTTTTTGAGGTCTCTAACATGGCATCTATGGTAACGAATAAAGCTTCTACTGAAGCTACAACCTTGTATGATCATACTCAAGCATTTGATTCATATATGAAAAAGATGGGCGCAAATAAAACTGCAGAAAAGGTCGGGTTACGTCGTCGAGAGGTTCATAAAATCGTGCCCAAGAGACTTGGTGCTTGTATGAAGCAAGGTGAACAGCACAATGTTCTGTCTCTTGAAGATGAAAGAGACAGACATTTGTTGTTTGATGTTGGATCGCACACGTTTTTAGAGCGTTATGCTGAATGGGAGATTGTAGCTTAACTTTTATAACATCTCTTATTTTGTTTATTCGCATATAATTTATTTCTGAATTCGAATATTTTTACAACATTTTTAAATATTTTTGGTACAAATTTTCTTACCCTTTATTCTGTATTCAAATTTCTCTACAAAAGATTTAAACCAACTTTATTATGCTAATAAGTATGTACCGTCATTTGCGCTGATATTCTTAATACATTAAGTTTGGTGATTTTATCTTAGTTATAAATATTAACTACGTGTCTAAAACATCGCTATCACTATTGTTATTGGTGGCTTTATTGTGCCGCCACTTTATATCGTTCTTAATTTGTTGCCGGTATTACGTATCATCATTACTGCCACTGGAACTTTTGCCTGTTTCGTTGAATCATTTTTTCTGTTGTTGGTTTTATAAGCATATCATTGCTTTTTTTTCATCATTATAACTATTAGTCAATTATGACCAAGTTTTACAACTTAGATCGAAACTTACATAAAATTATGTAATTTTACATCCTAGTGTTGAGTAGAATTAAATAACTGTAGGTGAAATGCAAAATGAAATAAAAATAAATTTAAACATTCTATATATGGAAATAGATTTTATCTACATAATACCGATGTGCTTAAAAAATAATGAACTTAATATTATAAGTGATAGTATACTTTTGATTTATTTAAAATATAATAAAATTTGGTACACATAGATATTCAATTCTTCGTTTTAAGATTCAAAATTCATTTTAAGTGTATTTAGAATCAAGTTAAATTGATTCCAAATCTATAAATGTTTTTTATATTGATAATGTAGCGCAAAAAGGACATGATCTAATTAAAAATAACTTTTTCCACTAAAATTTTCTTAATCGACTAATTTATCTTACGATATCACATATGAGATAAAATGTCTTCTCATATTAATAAAAATAACAGAGATAAAATATTATTACAGGGTTCTCAAATGGCTGAGCCATTTACATTTTGAAATGAAATTTTTGGAATTCATTTTAAAGTCATTAATTAGAAGATTTAAAGTCAAATTAATTTATTTATAAAGTTTATTGTACTGGCTAATAATCTACAAAATTATTATTTACCTTAGTAAAAGGAAATTTGATCATTCGGTCATTAAAGTCATTTGAAACACTGCAATATTATATATACACTACCTCCTTCGTCCTTGCATATTGTGTTTCCTTCCACCAGTGCTTTTCAGTAACACTGTACGATAAGAATTAAATGTTTATATAGGACAATTTTACTCTCATTTATACCTTTTTTTAAACCTATTTGGTTTTTTTTAAAGAACAATATCTATTATCTAGACCCATTTTAATACTGGATTTTTTTTGTGCATCTTATCCCATATGTACATGTTTTATTTTTTATGTTAACTCCATACACGAAATTTTTGTAACATTATAAAAAACATGAAAATTCGTTCTTTTTTATCATTTCATAAGTTCATAACGTTTTTATTATGTACCTTTTTCATGTTAATATTGATAGAAAAGGTATTAAGTCAGGATTCATGCCATCTATCACCAACTAAACCAAAAACAATTATTGGGTATTATCCGGCTTATAGTCCTAATAATTTAAAACCGGGGATAGATTTTGATATCAATCTATCAATTAATCACTTAAACTATATTGGTATGCGAAATTAAAGCTTTTAATCTATTTAATTACAATTAGGTTTAATAAAGTTTATTTAATTTAATATTTATAGCATTTGGTCCAAATGATCTTGTCAATAATGGCAACAATACGAATCCTGGTGGAGACCCATATGCAATTATGAGCCGTCAAAGTCAATTTTCCAAACTTAATGATCTGAAAAATTATAAGACTAAGAACAATCTAAACTTTACAGTAAGCAATAATCTTAAATCAACATTAAAAATGATTTGTCATTAGTAGTAACCAAAATGTTATGTTTTAGATTATTCTATCAGTCCTGTTACCAACTGATGCGAGTAATTTAACTCAACTCCTCTATGTAGGGTCAGGACCAAATTCATCAGTGTCATCAGGAGGAACGGCTTTGATGGAGTAAGATTAATGTTTTTATTTTATTCGTTACATGATTATTTGGATGTCGCCAATTGAAAACCGATAATTCTTGAATTTGAATTTAAAACTTCACGGAACGGAGTATGGTTTATCAGTTCCGAAAAATAATATAGTTATATCATTTCATCGTATTTAAACCAATACTTGAATTGGTATCATTAGATTAGATTTTCAAAGTCTGTAAGCCTGTATCTGTGAAATGAAATATCTGAAAATCAAAGATTCTTGATTTTCCTTTGGCGGCACAATTTATTAAATAGTTATTAATACTTTCCAATTAACTTGTAGATTGACATTGATTATCCCTTTAAGTTGCCGTGCAATCCTGGCCCCTCCAGGGGTCTAGACACTTTTGCAGTAACGTGACCGTCACGTGGTGTGGCGTAATTTTTTGCTTTAGTTTA